AAGGGAGGAATGAGCGCTTCGCTAAATCATTGTAAGGAGACCCTTTCTCAGTAAACATCCATTTCTCTTCCGGCAGTGACCTTTATTGACCGCTACCACGACGCGTAAAGAAGTCATATTTTTTTAATGTATCTAAATTATCACTGTACTCAAGTACTTACCTTCAGAAATTTTAAATATAACAGTCTGACATATAGATAAAGCGATAGGGACCAGTGACGTAACTAAGGGTATGCTTGTTGAGTGAAAGTCGTGTGATGCACGCCGCACCAGTTTTTTGTTTATCTATTTTCCTTCATGAAATAGATAAAAAGAGAGCGTATTCAGCGAAGTTCTACTGTATATAATCGTTGAGCCCATAATTATATGTAAAGAAAATTTACTGCTAAACGAATTATTAAGCATTACCTTAACTTAGTAAGGTTCATCAATGGTACCATGTAACGTTGACTAGTGTGATTTTCATAAATGCTGGTGTAGATATTATTTTATTATTAATGTTACTTATTAAAGTAATATAACAATTAAAAATGTTATAAATATCAATGCTTAAACAAATAAAATCACCCACACTGTAATATAAATAAATATAGCGGCCTTCATTATCAACGCCAATCTTGTCGGAATGAATAGAAAATAATAAACCAAAATCGTGCTACTTAATTATTTATTACAATTAAATAAATAATTAAAATGTACTGTTATCAGTGACAAAAATCGTAAAACATATCGTGAATATATGTTTTAAACAATATGTTTCTAGTTATTAATTATAGCTTTCATGATTTTTACTTTAATTTACCTATGCTATGAAATACTAATTTCAACTCAAAGTATAGGGTGGTAAGTGAAAGTTTTGTGGTATGCGCACCGCATCACATTTTATAAAATCTGTTTTCTTTTGCCAGATATCTATCCTTTTATGATAAACTCAAGTCCCATCCGAATCTACTTTTTTATAGCCTTGCTTCTTCCTCGATTCCTGATAATCCTCCTAGATGTCTGAAAAGGAGATGGCCACGTGATCTATTTACCTAGAATTATTTAGGGAGTGCTGTCACTGGATAGTATCTCTTTAAGTCTGTTCATGTCGTTATTTCTTATTTGTGCATATTAACTGGTGGTATTCGTATACAGTTGTAAATTTCAGTAAATAAAAAAAAAAAAATTTTGTCGATTAATCCTGGTAACGTATTCCATCCTTGTTCTACTTAATACGATGGCTCCACCATAATTATCTGTAATGGAAACTTTCTGCTCCCTTTTGCCTTCTGCGATAAAAATGCTTATTGAGAAATGTAATTCTTATACAGACTAGTTTCATTAGGTATAATTTATTATAATTTACATGATAGTAGCACTTAACTTCTTTAAAAAATAAATATTCATTGATTGGCGGATTGTTGCTGAATTTTCCTTTGGGGCTGAAATAATGTATAAAGAAAAGCAACGAGGATCAAAGGAGATAAGAGAGGCTAAGGTTTCGGGACGTGAGTGGCTTGTATTAATTGGGCACTCTACCTCTTTGTTATAACATGATCCTGTCATTAATTCAAAAGGAACAGGATTTAAGAGGCCTCGTTATTTTTCTCTCAGGTAGGGCTTCTTCTGGCACATTAATCGTCTTTACTCGTCATTTTGTTCCTCCTCTGTCCCATTAGCTATTCTACCGACACTTGCTAAATACGAATATTCTCACGAAGGATCAAGTTTGTCCTACAATTGAATTGGTTGAAAAAGGTCGAAATTATTCTTGGATTTCAGAAAGTTGAAACCCCCTTTGCTTGAGTTTCTGGAAAGGCTATACACTTCGCATGTCAGATTCCATGAATTATATTACATCAAAGTTCTATATTTTCACCACCTCTAAAAATATTTACATACAGACCAACATTGAAAACCACAGGATATATAGCATTTTTTGCATTAAGCTTGTATTAAACCACTGAGGAATTTTCATTTTAAACTAAACTTCGTTTGTCTATTTAGATCGTTTAATACATTAAGGTATTAAATGCAAACGCATTCCAACTGCGGTAGAAAAGATTGGTTACCCTACAGATTCCCAACAGTTTCCAACCAGAGGAGAGAGATATTGGGGAGGCGGGAGGTGACCGAAGTTTATTCCATGGGTCAGCCATGAGATAAATGTGCTGTTCTTTCAAAATTTTCTTCGCCATGCCACTTGGGACTCGAGAATGCTGAGATGCTGCTTAAACAAGCGCGTCCACCACAAGGCCTTAATCTAAATATTAAGCCTATGTGCCTCAAAATGAATAATTCGTCAATTCATCCCTTATCTTCTAGTTTTTTGGAGGGAAGGGTCCTCCTCTTCCTCGCCTTTAAGGCTGTACGGGGTTTTCTCGGTCAGAGAGTGAGAACGGGGATTTAAAAGACTCCCCCGGCACCAGGACGCGAACTCGTGACTATTCTTGTCTAGTTATCTCATGTATCAGGTTGCCGGGCAACGGCGGTGCTGTGCACACACGTTAGCCCATTCGGCCATCCTCCTCCCCCCTCCCACTTAGCTTTTAGTTGTTTCTTTTTTAATATCTTTCTTCATCATTGAGCGACGAACGATATCTTTATGAATTGTATTATATTATCTGATTAAAGAATGCCCCATACTAAATCCCTCCCACATAATCTATTCTAACTTACATATATCCAAATCATTTTTCATAAACAAATAAGAAATACCTATGGGAGATTTATTCGAAGTACTTGTAAAAACCAATAGTCTTACAAGTGATAATTACTTCATGGCGAAATCAAGTATAATTTGTATTTTTTTTTTAATTCAACACCGCTTGAAAACGTATTAAAAATATCGAGATGCCATAACTTTTTTTTTTATTTATTTTTTTTTTTTTGGTCCTTCCCTTCCTCGCCGTTAAGGCTATACGGGATTTTCCCGGGCCAGGGGGTGTGAGCGGGAATTTAAAGACTCCTCCGGCTCCGGGACGCTAACTCGTGACTATTTTTATATCTTTGATTTATATATCTGGTTGCCGGGCAACGGCGTAATATAGATCTATCACAGGCTTTAGCCCATTCGGCCATCCTGCCCACTGAGATGCCATAACTGCAATAGTTCGAATATGAAAGACACCCGTAAAACTTAATTTATCTATATTGATGATGTTGACTGTGTTTAACTTCCTTGTATATTCCAACTAGAGAACAAATGCGGAATACCATACAGGTTATAACGAACTGTTGTAGAAAGATCGATAAGGTCAAAATTTAATCCTCCTCGAAATATAAGTCAATATTCCAAATCAGGATTCGAACCGGATTCTGACTGAATGTGCTGTCTCAAGGCGCCTGGATAAAGCGACCCGGTGTCTGTATTATTACAGCCTATTCTAAGGTTTTGACAAAAAACGTGGAAGGGTTTAAAGCCCCGGTGTATGAGGCCTGGGCAGAGGTAATTAGGCTAAGTGTTCCTTTAACAAGAACATGACATCCAGTTGATTACAGGGTCCGCATCCCCTCAAATACAAATGCGGTAGATGTTGATACAGCCGCACGCTACCCACCAACAAAATTATCTACTTTATCCTCACCGCTTATTTGCCTATAACCAAATTTAAAAGACGTACTTTTTTTTTTTTAATTTAGTTTGGTTCACACAAGATAAACATATGCCAAATAAATGTTAGAATATTCAAATAAATAAGCACTCAACCTAAACATATTGATAATTGCCATATTGATATTGACAAAAAGAATACAAGACACTAAAAGAGTTGATACGAGACGAAGAACTAATTTATATTCGACCATATTTGAACTCAAAATCGAAATACTATCGTATACCAACTTTGTTTCATTCTAAAAAAATATTTAATCCCTCATTAAAACGTGGATTGGTCAACATTTTTTCCATACTGAAGCTATATTACAAATATATATTTTCCTAACCCGGCCTTGTATTTACAGTAAAGATTTTGTTTTATAGAAACAAAGATATTTGTTTTTTACATCTTAAAAACGAATTGTTATAGCAATCGCAGAATTAAAATTGTTAGCAAGAAATTTTAGCTTAGGCTGGATCTTTCGAAATTTAGTCGACAACCACAAAAATTCTGGTTCAGGACGACTCCACCGAGTCACATGAAAATGTTTAGGGTTGTTGTTGTTTAGGGCATATAGGTATAAAACCCTGAGGTCATCAATGCTTATCTATTCTTTGTTTCAATTATCTCAATACTAAATTATTTTGGGGGGAAAAAATAAATAACTAAAAAAGACTAAAGAGTAAAAAAACAAAATAAAATAATAAATACATTTTTAAAAAACAACTCCAATTTAAAATTTTATTTAACAAATCATTGCCTTTAAGAAAATTTATCACCGACCATACTTTAACTTCATCATTATTTAAAATATCTGATAGTTTTAGTATGCATCCTAGCTTGGCTAATATTGCCACGTAGATAAACTCATGAAAAATGTGGCTGACTGTTAATATTTTGGTATTCGTTGTTTACTTATCAGGTAAGAATGTGTCAGGCTCTAATATCTTATCCTTAGTCACGCCAAAGCAACCTCCTCTCTACAAATATGGCGGTTCGAGGAAAACCATGATTTTGTTTTTTTTTTTATTTCCTTCATTTTGCTCGGCGGGCTCTCGTTCCACGTGGATTGCCAGCTAAGGGTTATTTCCTTTTTGAGGAGAACTCTTCTGTCACTTGGTGTTAAAATAGCAGCACCGTGACCTTGAAGGGTGAGTGCTTGTTTGGATGCCACGTCCGCCAGCATAATAGTCAACAATATCTCTTCTATTGCTTTAATTATATGAGTTATGTTTGTAATTATAAATAACATTGATTTCATACGATTAACAACATCTTCATACTTTGTATATTTCTGAATTTATACTGTTTTCTCTCAATGTATGTTATACTTATCGATATTTTTATCAGTTATTTAAACTATTGTACATGTTAATTTCGATTATCGACAAGACTACATGACCGTATCGATTGTTGCAGGTATGGCAGCCTAACGAAGAATGGCGGCCGAGGAGGGAAGCGGTTGGTTGTGGTCCGAAAACGGGACCAACTCGTCCCAGAGCAACGACACACAGTACTGCGGCAATCTGGACCAGCCCACGCTCTACATCTTCACTCAGGTCTTGTATGCGTTCGTCTGCATCGTAGGCCTCCTCGGCAACTCTCTCGTCATCTACGTCGTGCTGCGCTTCTCCAAGATGCAGACTGTTACCAACATGTACATAGTCAACCTGGCTGTAGCCGACGAATGCTTCCTCATCGGTATACCTTTCCTCATAGCTACAATGAGCCTCCAGCTTTGGCCTTTTGGGAACATCATGTGTAAGATATATATGACAACGACGAGCATTAACCAGTTCACAAGCAGCATATTTCTTACAATAATGAGCGCTGATAGGTACGTAGCTGTATGCCATCCGATCTCTGCACCAAAAATGAGAACGCCATTCATTTCCAAAATCGTTTCCCTCAGCGCCTGGACGGCAAGTGCCATATTGATGATACCAGTATTTATGTATGCCAACATCATGGACAGCGAACACGTCAATAGCTGTAATATACTTTGGCCAGAAAGTGAAAACTTGAGTGGACAAACTGCATTTACTCTTTATTCGTTTATTCTAGGATTCGCCATTCCATTGGTATTGATATTCTGTTTCTATTTTCTAGTAATAAGAAAACTTCAAACAGTTGGACCGAAAAACAAATCTAAAGAAAAGAAAAAATCTCACAGGAAAGTAACGAAGCTTGTGTTGACAGTGATTACGGTATATGTTCTCTGCTGGTTACCCTATTGGATCACCCAAATGGCTCTCATCTTCACTCCTCCTAAACAGTGCCAATCAAGAATTACAGTCACAGTCTTTCTGCTGGCTGGTTGTTTCAGCTACTCTAACTCGGCCATGAACCCGATACTGTATGCTTTCCTTAGCGATAATTTCAAGAAGAGTTTTCTAAAAGCTTGTACGTGCGCAGCAGGTAAAGAGGTAAATGCCACCCTTCACTTGGAGAACAGCGTGTTCCCGCGAAGAACTGCTCGTGGAGGATCTGAGCGAGCTCCCGCTAGGCGCTCGGAGCCTCAGGAAGCCGGACCCCTGGTGAGCAGGACGGAGGCCTCCACCACCGCCCTCACCTCGAGGTCCAACATCACCGTCACCAGCGACTCCATCACACCGGTCAAAAATGGCGTCAAAGTCAACGTCACTCCCACTCAGCTCTAAAGTGACAACTTAGTCCGACCCGCGCGAACTTTAACATTCCTAAGAAGACTTGATCATATCATCGTTTCACCTTCGGTTTTCTCTGCCCTATCCCGATATATGTGTAAGAGTTGTTTGATTTGAGTGTCGGAATTCCCCCATGCCCTTGTTATTACCATTTAGTACCTGAAAAAATTAATTTAATGAATAGATAATGAGTGATGTATCAAAAGTCGAAGCCACTTACATATGTATGATAAACAATGTATTACTCTTATATACTCATTAATTTTGTACTCTTTTGTAATGAATTTTATTATATATTTTGTATACTTAGTTTATAGTAGTGGTTCTGCGCGGATATCGGACAAAGTACATATGACAATGAACATATCATGAAGACTGTTATTGTGTGTAACATATAAGCGCCAGAGATAAGGGACGAATCTAGCGCTTTCCCTAGTATATTATGTGTAATTTAAGTTTATATTAGCCTTAAATAGCTTGGGAGCTTGTTCAAGTAATATATATGTGTATAGAATGTACAATGATGCCTGATGAACTGTATATAGTGACCCTTACGATGGAGAGAGCTGGGGGGTGCGGTTCGCCCCTGAGCCCGCTAGCCCCTCCGCGGAGGGACTACCGTAGCGAACCACCCTCCAGTCTTCCCTCAATTCTCTTCAATTATAATTATAATAAAAGCTCATATTGCATTTATTTATTTTACCCTTCTTGTAAATAGCAGTTACTCATCCATTCTTGGAATTGTTACATCATTAGGTCGGGTTCGCACTAGAGCTCTAAGATAAATATCATAAGACATAGGCGACACACGATAATTGTCTCATAAAAAGTACACCGCTCTTGCCATAGGAACGATAAAATGTGTCCTTATTAGTACGATTTCGACATCTACTGTAGAATACTTGTTTAAAGCAACATGCCCAGATTGTCTATTCAACCAGTTTCTTGCGGTCTTGCCAAGAGTGAACATAAAAAATCCAAGAGGTGAAGAGATGTTAATAACTGTAGTTGAAAAATATTGTAAATCGTATATTGTACCTTCTCAATAATTTGATTTTTAATAATATTCTTGAAGTTTCAGTGATCCATATTTTCAATATTCATATATTTACTTTTTGCTTTCTCACTACGGAAGTTAGGGAAGATTTGTAGTTTTGTGGGAGGTTTAAAAACAAAAGATTGTTTTGCTCAGAATTGAAAATTTCCAATCGCGTTTTACGTTTCGGACATCAAGTACCAAATATGGTTCAGTGTCTGTCAGTTTGTATGTAGTCAAATCGATGAGACAGCCATATCAACTACTTCCGTTTGTCCGATTTTCATGAAATTTTTAGGGATTGTGCTTGTTTATAGCCTCATGCCAATTCCATCGAAGCCCATCTAGTACTTTCGGACACGCATGTATCAATTTGTTTTCTTTGATATGCAAGTAGTTTGTTTTCAAAGTATTCGGTTTATTTGGTTTGGCTCAAAGCTGAAAGAAAGGTAGGTATTGATAAAAAAATTATCTATCAAGTTTAATGAATTTCATCAATTATTTTCTCTTATATATGCGGATACGTGTTTTCCTTGATATATCTATATCTCTAAAAACCCACGTTAGACTTGGCTCAAATTTGGAAGGAAGTTGGGGATTGGTAAACAGATGATGAAGTGTGTATAAATTTCATAAAATTCCATTCACTACTTTCAACAACCACTCCTGCTTTTGAATCACTAAACTTTTTTTAAACAGTTTGATAACCTCTTATTCGATTTGACCCAAACTTGGAGGAAATTCGGAATGTAGTGTAAAAATTACATAGAATCAATTTCATTAAATTCTATTGAATATTTAAAATTAATATAAATAACTGTTAAGAATATAATAACTGTGAAATGTTGAAGGTATTGATCATATGAAAAGGGAACTTAGGAATTAACAATTTTTTATGAAGTTGTAAAATTTTATAACGTAAATTTAATTAAAAATTTTAATTAATTTATGCGCTGAGTTACAAAAAAACACTCTAATTTGTGATTGTGTTTGTTTCTTTTGAACTTCAACCACCTCGTCGTGGTCTCGAATTCCCCCTTAAACCTCATATTTTTTTTTTATTCTACCTTAAATTAGTTTTTTTCTGAACGATGGACAATGTCGGTTTCGTTAACCGAGAAAAAATTGTATTCGTTCAAGGGATTTTTCGTTTCATCCAATTTACGAAAACTACATGTTGAGTCTATATGTATGCTCAGTATGTATATCCATAATGTATAAGAATTTTTTTTTTTTTAAATGGAAAAGGCAATCAAGCAATTAGCAAATGCGAAAATCTTCCGCATTTTTGTATTCGCTGGTGAATAAAACTCGGGAATATTGAGGGATTACTGTATTTCCGAAAACGGTTTCTCCCGTGGTTTTTATTCACAGGCGAAATATCATAGACCTTGAAATATAGGTAATTGTATATGAAATGAAAATAGTGATGAAGCTATACTTACTTGGTAGGGGCTTTTTAACTGCATTTAGTGGGTTTTGGTTCTGAAGATCTCATTTATCTATTTAAATGGTTATAATTTTGCTACAAACGTTTTTTTTTTTTTTGTTTTTTTTACCTCAGAGTAATGCGCAATTTTTCTGTTTGTGAAGTAGCCAGTCTAAACTGAATGATACAATATTGGATATTACCTGTTTCTCTTGGTAAGATCCATTGGTAAGATTGGTAAGTAGTCCAGTCAAACTGCAGAAAAAAATTAAAAAGAAAGGTTAAATTAAAACAACACAAAGTTTTGAAACTTGACATACGTACTGATTTAAGTGCTCTGTAGCACATACGAGTACTATAAATACCCTCCCGCTACTGAGGGTCTAGCTCAAGTAATAAACTCAATATTTACTGAAACATTTAAAAAAAGTGTAAAATATTTCGTATTAAGATACTTCATTGTAATATGTTGCTTATGTCAAAAGGTATGTATCTTATCGCTTCAATGTAAACCTTGGATGTCTAAAGATAAATATCGTATGTCGCTTATGTCGTAAAATATTAGTTTTGTCGCTCTAGTGTGAACCCTCTTAAGCTTCAACAAAACTCAAAACTAATAAGAACAGTGGCGTACCTAATGGTGCTACAATAGGAAAAAAAAATTAAATAATAACATTAAAAGTAAAAAAAAATAAATAAATACTATTTTTTAATTGTTCGTTATTGCTTTTAATGGTATGAAGATAACTGAACATGATACTAATTTAAAATGAAGTTGGTCAGGTTTATAATCAGTAGACACACAGTACATTATAGTAGTGTTTTATTACATTTGCCAAGGTTTCGACCTACGTTGTAGGTCTTCATCAAGGCATTTCATGCAGCACTGTCAGAAGAAGTTTGGAAACTACTATTTTTCAATTATACCATTATTTTATTCAATTATACCAGTTATATCAATATTAAACTGCTAGTTTCCAAACTTCTTTCAGCAGTGCTGGATGTAAGTCCTGATGAAAGAGCTGCAACGTAGGTCGAAACGTAGGCAAATGTAATAAAATACTACTACAATATATAGCATGTCTATTCACCGCACTCCCGGCCAAATTCTTCTTAAGTTATAACTTTTATTTTTAAAAAAAAATTTTTAGTACGTGGAGCACTGCGATAGGAACCTATTTTTTTATTGAAATATAATTTCATTGTAGAAACAAAAATAAAGCCCTTATAGCAATTCTATCATTTTTTTTTTAATTTAATGACAACTTTATGTTAAACACTACATAAATTTTTGTTTTTATTTCGGGAGAGGGCCTCAAAAATAAATAGGTCCCTTGCCACAAATGTTTTAGGTACGCCTATTTATTGCATTGGTCCAATTCACTCATTTGAATATTGCTGCCATATAAGCATTACTAAAATAATAAGTGTATTTACATGTTATATTTAAAATACGAAATTTTCAATCCGATAATAACTTAATATGGTCATTTGTTATGAATCCATTTTGACTAGATCAATTCATTAAACAATGTAAAAAGGAGTATTTAAAATACTATTCAAAGTAAAAACCCTTCTTTTCTAAAATGCCATCATCACGTATACTCCCAATTATTTGTTTTAAAAAAATATGAAATACTGGTATGCAATGACATGCATGACTGTCAGTAACTATCCAGTTACTCATGAAAAAACATATAATATTAAATTGACATGAAATATGAAGCCATCAACTTGTCAATTATATCAGTTCCAAACAGCCAACTCTGGTCTAGAAGATAAAATGTAATAAATCTATTATCTAAATATTTTATATCTCGACCTATTTAAAACTCGGTATGCATGGACAAGATATTAATTAATTTCATTGATGAATCTGCAACCATCGATTTCTCACAAGGTAAGTCGATTTTTTAATCTCCTTTTTCCAAACGAATGATAATTTATTCATAATGAGTATTGGTTGGTACTAGTGTTACCTATGTCAGCAGCAACCCTTAAATTTGCCTCCAGCTCGGTGAAAAAGAGGATAGGTCATGAAGAAAAAAAAATTTTATTAAAGAAAAGAAAAGGAGAAAATAAATACAAGTTGTGCGCCACGTCGTTAAAAAAACATGAAAAAACAAGTTTTTATAATATTAGGTGTTATCACGGGCGGATCTACGGGGGAGAGGGGGGTTTCGGGCTGAAGCCTCCCCCCCAAAAAATGGGAAAATATAACCTTGTTTTATCGAAAACAATCATCTCTCAAAGTATTATTACTCGTGTAATTACATTTAAAAGGGCTTTAGGAATCACTTAAACACCATTTCATATAGGTAGTTAGTTTCTTTATTTATTTTTTTTCCAAAATAATTATCATTATTTTTATGAAAAAAAAGCTTTCGGGCTGAAGCCCTCCATAAAAATTATGTTTTTTCGGCTACTTATCGGAATTGACATATGAAGTTGTAATTAATCTAACTTTTGAACTGTTGAAGAGAAACTAGTAAAGTAGTATATATTTTTGAATGAATATTTAATTATTAAAAACTTTCTTCCCCATGATTTAATCGCAGAACAAGGCAATCAAGATTTAGCTAATCAAAAACATGAGGCAAACATTGTCTTTTTCAAAATTAGACATAGTTGAGGACGTATATCTCGGAAACTAAGCTAGGTAGCGAAGAAAGGTATATAATCAATCATTTAAAAAAAATTATCAGCTTTAATATAGCACAGAACGTCTTTGTCGATGCGATGGATAGTTTTCCTGATACAAGCGAAAACCCGAAAAAAATTAATTTTCTAGGAGCCTTCCCACATCTGACTCACCACCTAGGAGTCGAGACTTTAATATGTTTACCCCCTTACTAGTCCAAACAGTGTCCCAAAGTCAAAAATTGTATCCCCGCTATTTCCTTCCATACCCCCTTTTCGAGCATTCATTGGCTGGACTGCATTACCAGCGGTTGTTATTCGTGTTTTTATGTCCTCGGTTGTCTCGTAATTTAGCGTGACAATAATGTCGGTGCAAATTAAAAGAGTAATCAATTTACTAACAGTTGTATGAGTATGCTTTGGTCGCAACCCCAACCTAGATAGAATCCATGGTAAACTACTACCAAATCTAACTAAATAAACCAAATCAAGAAAATAATATATTACCATTAAACCAAAAAAATAATAAATTATAATTAATTTACGAACTAGTTTTTTATTATTGAGGAGGTTTGGTTGGGTAGGCCA